TCCGTTGGCTCAATTTAGACACAGTTTCTTCCAACAAGATGGCGCACCTTGTCATAACGCAGGTGCCATCAGGGTTTATCTTGATGAAAGATTTCAAAATCAGTGGATTGGTAATAATGGTCCCATTCACTGGCCGCCAAGGTCCCCTGACTTATCGATATTAGATTTCTTCTTATGGGGCTATATAAAAAATAAAATATATCACACGCGGCATGAAGATCGAGATTCACTGATGAATGCTACGAGAGAAGCTTTCGAATATTTACGTATGAGACCTATATTTTTACTCCGGTCGATTGACGCTATCCTCAGAAGATGTCGGCTGTGTCTTCAACAGAATGGGCAGCAATTTGAACAATATTCATAAGACATTTTCAACAGGAGAAAAATTAATAGAATTGTTTTGTAGTAGTGTTTGAATTTATTGTTTTATCAAATTGTTTTATGTTTTATCAAATTGTTTTTATCAATTTGTTAATTGAATAATCATTTTAAAAGAATACTTCTCATTCTACCCTATATAAATGAGTGGTATTTAATTATTGCGCCAGAATATCTATTCTAAAAGTAGAAGTTATTTGTCTTGATATGCCATAAAAAACTGAAAATTACCCAAATACAGGACTAATACTCAAAATATCATATAAGTGTTATATATTTTTGAAAAGCGCAAATCTTTCTTGTTTCAAATATTGATAAACATACAGGGTGTTCTATTTAAAAAAACATAACTTTGGGTTATATCTAAATAACGACAGCTCATTTAAAAAATCTGACTACGCCACTGGATTCTACGTGAAAAATTGTGAAAGGAACAGTTCTTACTTTTCCTCTAAGTTGAAAGATAGCTGAGAAACAGGGGGGGTCCCAAAATGAAATATTTTCAATTTCGCCCTGTATCTCAGGAACGAAGCGGGCTATGGAAATTTTGTTCACGGTTTCGTGAGTTTCACAAAAAAGTAGCCAACGTTCGCGGAAACCGCAAATCTCTATCTTCAAAATTGAGCGAGATATCCCGTAAGGACATCGAAAATGGGACAGCCTGTACAAGGTTAAAATCGAAGTTAAAAATAATAATAATGAAACAACATAAATCAACGAAACTGGAATTTAGTTTCTGAGGAAGCCCTTCTAGCATACATACCATACAAATTTCACACAAAACAAAATGACAGTTCATTTTGTTTTCTAAGTCATTAGTAAAAATACAAATACATAATATCTATAGTATCTACTGTTGCAAAAGCACTGTAATGTATTCAACTGCTGGGGGTAAAGTTACACAATGCACAGTTTAGAGTTGAATAGTTAAACAAAAATTGCATTACCTATTTTGCAACTGACCAACTTCAATATTTCATTATTTTTCCTAAGACCATCATAAAACCTATGTGAAGCACCCACTCTGTTTTCAGAAAGTTCATACCATATTCACAAAAAAAGGGTTATACAAGGTGTTTCCGACATTGGGGCAATAAAGAAAATGTGTATGGGTGTATGATAAATTGACATTCATCATACAGGGCGTGGAAAGAAATTCTGAATTGAGACTCTATCACGAATCTGCGATTAGATGTTTTATGCCACATAATTACAATGAATCACAATTTTTTTTTTAAATTCTATACCAGTAATGTTTACCTAACAAAATTGGGTTTCTTTGACAAATCACCATAGCAACTTATGTATTTTAGTGGAATTTTTTCTCGTGGGTACCCACGTTTTGATGATATAATAATATTTTGACGTCCTAAAACAGTGATTTTGTGCTACTACAATGAGTAGAAATCAACAATTAATAGGCTGAGAAACCATTGTGCCCAAACTGCATCTATTATGGTGTAATGCGTATGATGGAATGCTAAGATTCGAAATTTTTGGTGCTGATACGCTTCAACAGGAAGATCTAATTAACGGGCATACTGACCATCATCAGAAAGTCATGGAGGTTCAAAAAGAGAGAATTAGGAGAAGGAAGAGTAGATATGTAGCGAGGGTCAGCAAAATGGGCCAACTTGCTAGGCGACCGCTTCCCCTTTTTCCACTACTACTACTATTTGTATATACAGTCAGGTGCAATGAAAATGTCACACCTGGACGGTGATAACACCTGTAATCACTTCTGCAATAAGAGCGCTAACACTATCCAACTGCTACATGTTATTTTCATCTGACTGTACCTACTTATAGAACTTTATTCGATAAAATTATAATTTGTTACCACTTGTAGTAACTCGAAGTTGATATAAACCAGAAGTTGATATAAAATGAGAGAATATAATACGTTACATTCTAAAAAGGTATCTGCATGTAACTAAAGGTAGGAATTAGCAATTTGTATGAGCTAGAAAACTATTATTAGTGCCGAAACTGCAACCCAAACTAAATTTGTTCATGAATCTATATGAAAATCAAATAAGTAAATGAATTCTGGAATTATTTAATTCTCAAACACAATCTGGTATGAAATCTTACCGAATACCACACGAGGTTAAATTATTTTTCGGGAATTTTTTCAAGCTCATGAATATTTTGAAAATCATCCCTCTTCATTTTTCAAAAAATATGCGCTCTCACCATACTATCTTTGAAATACATATATTGAACTTTCGGCAACATTGCAAAAGTCATTGATACTCCCGGTGCTTGGGATCTCGCCAAAAGCAAACGCTTGGGTTGAGCTATTAACCTCTAATCAATGATTTACAGAAGTTTCAGGGAAACTTTGAAGCTCAATATCTTCCAAAATATTTTTTTCCATTAATGTATTGTTTCATTTCATTTAGTTTTTTCATCTTTTATCATCTATGTCATTTATTGCCCCAATTTTGGAAACACTCTGTATAATATATTCATGGATTCCGATTAAATGATCAAAAGTTCAATATTTCCATTACTCAGGTCTAGGAAGAACTGCGATTAATTGAAGTCAGGGATTAAATGTGTTCAGTAGCTCTATTAAGGAAGCAAAACAATGAAAGAAAATACTAATCTCATCCAGATTCTTGAATATATCCTTGCACATTAGAAAAAATACTTGAATCACACTAATATGCATTAGTTGAGAAATCGGGAGACGTCATATAATGTGAGAGAGATAAAGCTATGTGGCTTAGAGTGACTTTATAAAACAGAGTGGCGACAATAGTGATGTACTTCTTGATTGTTCAGACCTCCAATATGGATGCCACTGTTTCTGCCCTTTTGGACACAAAACATCCAACTATCAGACATAAAACTCTATACGTAGATACTTTGGATATTAAGTCTCATATTATTTAGATGATGCAATGAAAATATCAAATATCTAAACCTAACATAAGGTGGGCACTGCAAAGGCGCAAATTCATTACTGCATGCGAGATACCCTTCGGATTTTTAGCTATTCAGTGCCCACGAATAACATTCCAGAAACGGCAGCCATAGGTACATTGTCGCCACTCTATTTAACTTACTCACTCTAGGTAGGTTGTGTGATAACATCATGAATGTGTCAATAAATTCAAAATAACATTTGGCTTGCACAGTCAGATACAGCAGTATGATATAAGTTTTGAATGATGCACACAACTAGCTAGAAAATGAAACATACCACGGCAGCCATTTTGAGGTCTATTGTCGACACTCTATTCAATCTACTCACTCTAGGAGGGTTGTGTGATAACATCATGAATGTCACAATAAATTCAAAATAACATTTGGCTTGCGCATCCATATACAACAGTATGATTTGTTTCAATGGTGCACACAACTCGCTAGAAACGATCTTTTCACTATAGTTCACTGACCTATAAACAACAATTGAAAGGACAACTTATGAGCATGCGCGGAAAACTTTGTATGCACAGCATGTATTCGATCTATTTTGGTGTCTTGTTGAAACATGTATTTATACTTGTTATGGATTATATCAGAGCTGGCTTCTCTGTAATTTCATTATTTATCGTCCGTCAGCCATGTTCACTTTACTTGTATTGGGTTTATAGTGCATAATGAGTATTTTTGCTGATGTTTTGGTGGATCACTATTAATTTCGAGGAATTTGTTTCTAAACAAGGTCTTTCAAAATTCACTATCAAGATTTCAGATGCTTATTTTTCAGATCAAAATAAGTCTTTTTTTCTCTGTAAACATGCAAACGCTTCGTTACCGATCTTGAAAGCGTTAAAATTTAGTTCTTTTCTTTCTTTCTTTATAGCTTTTTTAGTTTTTGAGATATGCACATCAAATTTACAAAGGTAACATTTCAGCGTTCACATCATACAATAGGCCGAGTGATTGTGAGAATCTACAGGTAAAGATTTTTTGAGGGGTCAAGTCCTTTTTCGCTCCATAAACTTTTTTGTCACTGGTAGAGTTTGATATATGAAATGGGTTGTTTGTTTTGTTCATAAACATTTTTGTCGCTTGTAGTTTTTACGCATCTGCGACCGTTATCGAGAAAAAAACATTTTTTTTCACCACTAGCTATAAAACCTACAATTATTTACTACTTTTTAAGGCGTAAAGTGTATTTCTACTACCAAGGTAGTTTTCGTCATTTTATGAACCACTAGTCAATAAATACATAGCCACCTCTGTTAAAATTAACCCGAATTCACTATTCTGATGCGAGATTCGTAGAAATGGCACTCGAAATTAGGTATTTATAAATAACGATTTGTCATGTGCTGTCATGGTCATGGCTACTAAAATTCACCTTGGTGTAAAAATAACTATTTTTCAATCACAAGATTGAATTACAATTTTAACAAAATGGAGGAACCTATTATGACATTTAAAACAAAAAAGGCTACATATTTACTTTGTGATCTTAATTACAAGTTTCCAAACATTTCCTAGAGAATAAAGTAGGTACCTATCAAACCTTGGCTTTTTATAAATGGTGCTGGAAGATAAAAGTCTTGAAATTTTAATGAAGCGTATGCGGACACATTTATAGAAAGAAAGTCCCATTTTGACCTGAAAAATAAGTCTCTGAAATCTTGATATTGAATTTTGAAACACCCAGTATGTCCGCTGTTGTTTTTTGTCTGCAGTAACATCGATGATGTGTGGTATGTTTTAAATTATTCAAAAAGCCGGCCCAGTACGATACACGCCCCGCGCATACTCGTCACCCAACTTTTCCAAGCCGATCATGTGGTATGTGCGAGCCTAAAACTAAAATCTAGCATTTCACTTCGAATTGTTGTTTATAAGTCAGTGCCTCAGTGCAACATACCGATTTTCCGTACATCCCCGCGATCCAAGCTAAGTACAAGGAGTGAGTGCTTGGAGGCCGGCTAGGGAATCGTAGTGCTTCGGCAGGGTGAACAGAGCGTCATCAGCGCTGCGATCTTCCGAACAATTTGACGGTTTGGCTCGGTTCGTGTCGACGCAATCGACTGGCATCTTCACGGTTTCCATGTTGTAGTTGTAACCCTTGATGAAAATAATGATAAGTTGAAGAAATGAAAGACCCCGAGCAATTTCCATAAGGGCAGGTAAGGATCGCTACATTTGGCGCCCGAGCAGGGACAAGGGAAATATAGATTTATTATAACGAGAGTAGGAATTAGTTTTTACTGCTCCGTAAGTTTGGGGTACAGTTCTGTGATCTTGAACTATTGTTTTGACGTTTTACTATATTTAGAGTACAGATAAATAGATGAACCAATATTTGAATGAAGAAGATTCGAAAATCAAAAATTCAGAGCAGAAATATTGAAATATTAGAAGTGAAAATGCTATTTATGAGCATGATATATCTCGAAATTCAAAATTCAATGATAATAGATGAGATGCAGAGTTTGGAAAAAGCGTTGGTGATAAAATTTACGTGGTTCATCTAGTTAACAGTTATTCAACCAACTAGTGTATTAATGATGGTGATCAATGATCTCGAACATTAACGCTCTCGCTTTGCTCGCACGTTAAAATATTTCAATCATTAATCGCCTTTTAAAATACGAGTTGCTTACAAAATGTTTCCGTCGTCTATATTTATCTTTTCTCCTGCAATGAAGAAAATTTGGTTGGCGAATCCATCATTCATCCGGAAACTACTAAGAATCACCCAGTAGCCTTGTCACTGACATAAGTGACATTTGACGTTTGTGGAAATAATAAACGTAGAGAATAAATTCCTTGAGTCAGAAAACAGAGATTAAAATCGTTTCAGAAACTTGTGAAGGCTAGACCGTTAAGGAAAAATCTCCGATGATATCCATATTTTCGGTTTAAATGAAGATTACTTAGGTTAGTGAATGGACGCGGTGTATGTTTGGTTGCCTACGCAAAAATCGCGCATTAATAGACAAACTGATCATTGATAGGGGTCATTAACGCTAAATTTCATAAACATTATACTCACCCGCTAATACGAGGCTCGACGGAAAAATACTTTATTGAAATATCAGTACGAATTACCATAGCTGAGAACTTTGAATAGACAAATTTCGAACATTAATTTTCAACCCTGTATGTTGACTGAAATTCTTCATTAATTGAACATGAAAATTCCAAATTTTGGTCTGTGTGAATTTATGGCAATAAGGCTTGGAGAACAAAATTGTCTAAGCCTGAAATTGCTATCCAATTTATCGTACCCTCTTTTCTACTCTAGGAGAGAGACTCCATGTACTCATTCGAAAATGTAAGAAAAAAGATATATCAAAGTACTCTTTCCTGAACCTCCTTTCATCTAAACAAAACACATGATCTTGTCCTTGTCTGGTAAAATATATGATCCACTGAAGGAACCTAATTTGGGGGTACTATGCAACGGTTAATTATTATGAGTTATCTACATCATAAACTGAGTGTACCTACCAAGGCTTAAAACATTGTATTATGGATTCAACAGTCAATAAATCATGAGCGATGAAAGATATTTTACTGAAATACTGAGCATTATGGAAGATACATAGTTAAATCGAGAAATAAAATCATATAAATTACTCATACCTGCAGCGTCAACTTGATGATGGTATGCAACGGCACGTGCACGTATGGTATCTCCTCGTGCGGCGTATCCAGAAAATAGCCCAACACGCACCGGAGCACCGCCTGGTGCGAAATGGTAAGAACATTCGTCTCGCACTCCAGCTGGGTCAGCACGGGCACCAGACGGTTCATCACGTCCAGATAGGACTCGCCTTGCGGATAGCGGTACTTGAGTTTCTCCCGGTCCCGCAGTGCCAGCTCTTTCGGAAATCGGTCTTGGAGCTCTTCGTACGAGAGGCACTCGCATTCTCCCTGAAAGGAGACGGATATTTGAACCGTTGACTCGCTGGAACGTTATGTAGATGACGTTGCGAATTTTGGCGCCCGAGCAGGGACTGTCCGTTTACGTTACTAGATATGCTTAGTGGTTAGTGCAAGCCGAACAGACATACTTCCGGTTCGTTTCATCACGTACAGATAGGACTAGCCTTGCGGATAGCGGTCGTGCAGGGCCAGCTCATTGGGGAATCGGTCTTGGAAGTCTTCGAACGAGAGGCACTAACATTCTCCATGAAAGGCGAATATTTGAATCGTTGACTCGCTTATGTAGATGACGTTGCAAATTTTGGCACCCGAGCAGGCACTGGCCGTTTACGTTACTATAAATGATCAGTGTAAGTCGCACAGAAATACTTCCGGTTCGATATTTGAATGGCCGGAACGAGGGTCCCTTGATGTAAATTGACGTGTTTGTCATCTTAACAGGGTACGGACAGATCCTCGTCACCTTTCACTCTTGAGTGATGACAGTTATATAATATATTTCCATCTTTATCCAATTCTGGGGATAAACACTAGATTTCTGACATTTGTTGTTTTTTAGGTTATATTGAGGACATTGGCATATCATACGTAATTTCCACATGGCATTCCTGATTCAACTCTACATATTATATACAAATGATGATAAATAATTTTCGAGTTCTTGATTTTTCAACTCCAGCGTAATTTTTGTGAGACAGTGAGCATACATTTTTCTGGACGTTTAAAATGTTTTACCAAATGGGACTGTTCTACTGGTGAAAACTCTGATGTAAGTATTCAAATTAATGTGCTCACATGTCATGTGTGCTGTATATTTATATATTCATGTTGGGTAAATCATTTTTGCAGTTTTTTTCGAACATTTATATTTTCTGAATGTAGGTATAATTTTTTAAATGGTGCCTCTTTTAATCCTCCGTTTAAATCGAAACTCTTTTTACTAAAATGCATTCAAAAACTTGTGGTGTGTTAATTAGGCACAATGAGAAAGTATAATATGTTATTTCGTAGTCCTACCTCGCATATTTTGCTGATGTATTCACCGATTTTCCAAATTTGGTCTCTTCACTTTCCATGTTCTAAGTTCATTTGCATTTATTGGATAGCTGACAATTTCAAATTTGCCAACCAACTGATTGCCTAACGCAGAACATCTCATCCTTCCAGAACAGAATTGAATAATGTATTAAGATTGAGTACTAATTGAAATTTTGTAAGATTTCTTTTAACGCCTATGGATGGGACGTGACAGCAATGTCATGTCAGGGACGCAAATACACAAAACCAAAGTCACTAGACCATTAAAAGAGAAAGGAGCTATGATCTGTCCGTACCCTGATGAGATGACAAATACGTCAATTTACATCAAGGGGCCCTAGCCGGAACGACGTGTAGATGTGGCTGCAAATTTGACGCCGGAGCAGTGACTGTCCGTTTACGTATAGTCAACTGAGTCAGTTGAGACACTTCCGTTTCCGAAAATGATACGAGGATTCATCAATTAGCTTCATATCCTAATAGAGAAATGAATTATTTTCTAAGAAGGCGCATTTCTTTCGTTACTACCAATGTTGATTGGTCAGTTTTTTCACTGGGCGTCCCGTGTATTCAGACTTTTTGAGACAGTGCGCTACGGTAATGCGTGTCTCCGTGTTCTGATTCGCAAATAAAATATTGTTGGCATTTTTGAAGCTTTATGAGGAAGCCATCGAAGTTAGTGATAGTGATTCGGAGCTAGAGCATGCGGAATTCGCCCATAAAGACACGTTCAAACTTAAGGGGCGAACATCTATTCGTGTCTCAAGTACGATACTGGTTCTTTGAAAACTCAACTTGTGAAGAGAATTCAGAAATTGACTAAATTAATTATTAATTAAGTATTAAGAATTATTCAAGAAGCTTGATCCTTCGAAGGAAGTCATTCTGCAAATGTGTATGGATTTCATGAACACAATAAGATGCCAACATTGGAAAATATTAGGGATTGCTCACAACGACCCTGCCACTAAGACCACACAAGACCATGTTTCTCGTTCTTGGTCACCTTGCAGTGTCGTTGTGAGCATGACTGAATTTTAATTAAAATCAAATGATTTCTTCAAATTTTGGGGTTTACCCCCATTCCCTCCAATTCTTTGAAATCTTTGCCTTCTGCTATCAAGATTTTACTGATGCTATTATGAATTGTTTAAATATTTCAATAATTACTAACCTTACATCATAGTTGATGATGAATGTATATATGTATTCATTGAATAAATGTTGTGATGACTGGGAGTTTTACTGATACTTCAATGATATGAAGTTGAAGTAATGAAAAACTCCGAGACATCTCCACAATGGCAGATGAAGATTATTACATTTGGCGCCCGAGCAGGATCAATGCAACAACGAATCATCACAAGAGTATGAACTAGTTGAGTTTTCATGCATGAGTCTAGTTTGCCAAGGGCAAAGAAACCAAATTGGGCTTTCCCCAAAGTTAATATAATACCGAGCAAAATTACTCACCGACCAAATCTCGTCGAGCTCGTGCAGATGCTGCTGCGGCGCCTGTATCAGGGCGCTGGTCGCCCCCGTCCTCTTCAGGGTGGACGTCCACACCTGCAGGCCCGGCAGGTTGAGAGCGTGCACGTGCCGGGCGAGCGCTTGCGAGTACGCCCTACCTCTGGGCGACAGCTCGGCGTTGCCGCCTATGCGACCGATCACGTTGAATTCGCTTTCGCCGTGCTGCGATAGAAATAAATCGGATGAAAATTGATTGAGTAGAGTTCCTAAATGTACTGGACACTTTTGTGTCGACGTTTTTGGGTTTAAGAGTACGGACACTTGCAACGGTGTTATTAAAAATTGAATAAAATATACTCGGTATATAAAGATAAATAAAGCGCGGTGATCTGGAAACAATAAGAATAGGGGTAGTCAAGGGGATAAGAAAAGAAGAGATTAACAGGAGGTGAGAGATTTTTGGGAAGTGAATGGGAAAAACAGAAAGTATTTACGGAAGTAGTGAATTTATTAGTAGTGTATAGTAGAAAGAATGATAGAAGGAAGAGTAGCAGAAAGGAAATGGTGAATGGTGAAGAAATCTCGGAAGAAATAGTGCACAGAAGCAAGAAGTTCCTCAAAGTACTTGACACTTTTCTTTTCACCTATTTGGATATTTAGAGTACAGACACCCGACAAGCAGTGACAGTAACACATAACCACAAATGATTTCGAAGCAGATCATAATTTCATATTCAATAAAAAAGGCATGAAATCATCTCCATGTGATGTCCATGTTCAGCCTATGTTAAGAAGTCCTACGATATAAGGAGATACAGTCGCATTAAAAAAAAAGCGTACAAGTATATTACAGAGAGAAATTAGCGTCATCCTATTCTGCATAAAACGGGCTATATTGACAGTAAAGTTGTCATAGGATCTCGAAAACACAAAGCATTGGCTGAGCCAGTTTTACACAATTAGAACTAGGATCCCAAAATCCTCTCTTTTCAATGCTTGTACGATTTTTAATTGAATACGACTGTACATCATGAAATGAAGAAAAATATTTTTTTGTACTCACATAGGTACGAAAAAAATTACATGTTGTAATAAAATAATAGGGTTTTTTGAGAGGTCCCAACCTTCCAATGGAGAAAAATTATGAACAGAATGACCAACACACATCTATTATTATTAGAGACGACGGCCTGCTTCCAGTACGCAAAGGCTAAACGTCAGAACCGTTCTGTACTTCACAGCCCATGCCACGAGATGTTTGACTATGTAAAACCATCAGCAGTCAGAAGTCAAACATCAGTAATGACACACAGCCTGATGACGGAGCTACACAAAATTACAAAACAAGAACTACACCAGTGGATGTTGCCATATTGTCAAGAAGTATAAATGCCTATGAATTAACACCACTCAAACTCTCGTTCGTTTCAAGATCTTTTATCATTAATTGACTTTTCCAAATTAAAACATTCAGTACATTGTAGTTCGATCAGGCCAGCGGAGTTCATAGACATCATTTCCTTTAAAATTTGCAAAGAAATCGCTTACCGCGGCGATAATACCTAGGTAAGCGGTATCGAAAGGTAACGACCGTTCCCATTGTGGAAAATTGCGAACCTAGCATCGATTCCGAATATAAATAGTAACCGAATCGATGAGGCATTCATTCATTATCGACACAAGTCATTTTAGTGATCATCAATTAAAAATGTTCGACGTCTCCCCAACTTCAAGCCTGCTGGCCAACCCCCTGCTGGACGCTATAATGTAAGTACTGTTTTTTTTCAAGTGTTGTTTTGCGTTGTTCTTTCTCCTTTTGCTAACCTGCCATGTGGCAGCATTTATTCATGAACTCTTCATCAAATCAATAAATGTCAATTTTATATGAAAACTGTCCGGTCTCTTCATTTGGGGATGAATAGGGTTGGATGATGAAATTATCAAAGCCTCTTGTCAAAAAGCCAAGCGAGTAGCTAAGTCACGACCTATAAGAGGGTCAACATCTGAGTTGTGACACGTGGTGGATGCGCCGTTTGTTCTCAATAATGCCATATAACTTACTAGAACCATCTGAGTTGCGACAGTATTATGACAAACAAAATAACAACATCATATTCGTATAAACGCTAACCGTTTATCACAAGAAAATTTTAAGACACGATTCCACGAGAATCGAGACATGCAATTCCATAACCTCAACTCACCCTACTGAAATACAGTGTTTGCTGATACGGCTTCGGCGTCGACACGTAGGCCAATATCTTGCTCTCTTTTGACCCCGTCACCCCGTGAGCGATGATGCCCCCCTCGCCGCCGTCGAGAATCTTGACCATCGGGCAGGGCAGCTCCCAGAGGCTGCCCAACGTGGGCGACTCGTACTGCGCCTTGTAGTGCGCCATTTTGTGCGTGAGGTCTTTTAACGATTCTTCGGTGGCCTTGTCTTTGTAGTCGGCGCTGTACTGGAGGATTTCCTATAATCGGGATTGGGGATGATTTCCCTTAGATTTATGTTCACGTTGTATATAATGGCGATTGATAAAGCCATAGTCATTTTTATTTCTAAAATAAAGCAATTTCCAACTTTCGGGGCGGCAAGCTATAACGTACATTCTGAATCTAGTCTGAATATTTATAGCTGATGATAAGGGTTACATACTAGAGGATAGCTAACGAATGAAAAATAGAAGAAGACAACATTTCCTCAAAAACTTGTTGTTCATATCATTATTTTGCAGTCGTTGATGTTTTTATCATAAACAATATTGATGATCAACTATCTAACAGCCTATATATGTCCAATAGGCCAACAAATAACTGTAGATTAAAAATCGACACAGTTTAAACTGGTAATCAAATAGACTGGCCGGTATGACAGATTTTTTGCAACTTTTTTTCAATGTATGCAACTTTCAAGTAATGATTTTCATGTGTTTTCAACATGTCCTAAACAATTATGAATTTGTGATCACATGCGGCGGCATCACCAATCAACTTTGAAATTGCATTGAAAATTGATGATTTCGAACGATTAGTAAATGCATGCAGATTGGTTATTGTTGAAGTTTCAAAAAAATTATACCGCAGATAAATTTGCATATGCCGCCCTCGTGTAGGAAGTCCCGAAATTATTAACTGAACATGTGATCAAGAGGGGGATATTTGATATTTTTGAATAATTATTTGACGTATGCTTCTTCACAGACTTACTTTTGATGTTACTTGTATCAAGAAAAACTACATTGCATACAATGAGGGCTAACATAATTTATTGCCACCACTCGCGCCACTGAAACGTGAGGTCAGAGTTCTTCTTCTCGTGTTATTTGGTCTCTTCTTATGATATCTTCTTCTCCGTCAATGTAAGAATTGGTCGTAAAGTTCCACATTGAGAGTAAAAAACGTAAGTCTGTTCAAGTCTTTCCATAACTTGAGGTCTTCTATTTGCTCAAATATTAGACATCATTTTTTCCGAATATTTTCGATAAAACAGGCCACAGCCTATAGGGCTATTCGGAAAAATTTTAGAATTTTTGACTTTGACATTGACCTCACGTTTTAGTAGCGCCAACTGGCGAGACTGAAAATGGTAGCTATCATTGTGGCGTGCACATGTGCTGTATTATTTTTTAAACATGCACTGTTGTTTGTAAAAATATCTCCCTCTTTATCGGGACTAGTTGGAAATTCATGGAAAGCATTACTTGAAAGTTGCATACATTAAAAAAAACTTTACAAAAATCTGTCACTATACCGGCTAATCTTTTCTATAACTACAAAATCAATCAGCTCTCGGTGTGCCTCAGTGCCTGTCAGTATTTTGTGTGGTGTGTGGACGGGTTCAAAGCAATATGCGCTGTTGACTGACAAGTTATGATAACCATTTGGTAATGAATGAAATGAAAATTTTCGATCTCGGGCATATCATAATTGCTTGATGTGTGTCTATGAAAAGGTTTCGAGATGTTTTCTCTAGCACACTTCATTAACGCGCAATATTTGTTTTTTCATGGAAAGTTGAAGTTTTCTGGGAATGTCCTAAGTTTGAGCTGAGCGGTTCATAGAATAAGAGAGTTTTCGAGATGTTTTTGCTAGCTCACTTCATTAACGCGCAATATTTGATTTCTCATGGAAAGTTGAAGTCTTCTGGGAATGTCCTTAGTTTCAGCTGAGCGGTTCATAGAATGAAATAGTTTATTCATTGCCTGTGCCTTGTAGTGCGCCATTTTGTGCGTGAGGTCTTTCAACGACTCCTCGGTGGCCATGTCCTTATAGTCGGCAGAAGTATATATGCGATTTGAATCGTTTTGCTTTCTCAAAGGTTTGAGAATATATCTGTACTACTAGAGGTGCGTTTGGTTTTTGAATAATATATTCTGCATGTATTGGAATTGCATATATTGAAAGTGCTCAAGTACCTTCTTATCGGTCGGCTGCAGTGTTTTTTTTTTCATTCATTGCATTCCCTTGTGCGGGGATAGAGATGCAAACAACAAAGCAAGTGTCTTCATAATATTCATTAATAGAACAAAATGAGGAAAATATGTGTTATTAGGTGTTTTGATATCAGTTAGGCAGTTGCTATGTGGAAAAAAGTGGTTTCCTCCATTCTTACCAACCTTAAAATTTCTTTCCAATAGCACAGGATCTTCGCAAACACACTCGATGAACATCACTCGGAATCCGAGCTGTCCGTAAATCAGATCGTAAATTTCCTGTCTTTGGGACCTACAAATGAAAATGGAATAAGAATAATGGATATTCTCTCATAAAACCAATTATAGAAGTGGGTATATTAAGAACAAATCAAATCCTAGAATATCACCAACACTATCTTTAGAAATTACCATTTTATATCCGAAATGCCTCAACACATCCGAATTCTTATCAAACTCTTATTTTTGATCTTGGAATGAATCAACAACTCTAACAAAGCATTGTTATTTGTAATTTATCGTTTTTGAAATATATATTTATTAATTAGTCCTACAGGCCTGACCGGCTCATGTCTTCTTTAATTAATTTCCTCCACTGGTTTCTATATTATGCCTTCTATTTCCAATTCGTGATATGACACTACTGGATGTCTCTCATTACTCCATCTTTTCCCATTGACCTCAGACTTCAGGCCTTTTTGAAATAAACTTCTCAATTCTCAGTATTTGCAAACTCTGAGCTAAATTCGGTATATTTGGTTCATTTCCCCGCGATAGCCTATGCGACTTAAAATTACGAGAGTAGCATGAGGAGTCCTAAATGCGCATGCTTCATGGTCTCCAGTTCGATCTCGTAAATGGATGAGCTTTCGTCTTATGGCATTAGCGGTGTAGAGATTATGTTTAGTAGGTTATGTGGGCGGTCCTCAAGGTTGGTGGGACTATCAGGTTGTCTCTTAGTATAGTTTAATGACCAGGGGTGCGTGGGGAGTGGAACCGAACTGTGACGTAGCTGTTTCCCCGTCGTGATTTGAACAGAGCCAAAATTTCGGAAAATTTTCAACTTCAAGTAAAATACATGTAAAAAATTTAACACATAGGGTTTCGGAATAATTTACGGCAAACCATCATCTCGGTCCCTCTTTCAGATGGCTATAACTCCCCAGGGGGGCATTTCTGGGCTCATGTTTATATGAACTTTTTTTACTATTTTTGTTCCTAGAATCTGTGGTTGAAATATTTCTATGTAATTTCGGGACACCCTGTATAATATAGTAAAATGGAGTTATGTCCATTCCAACTTAGAAGACAGCCTTGGAAACCATAGGGAAGCGTTGACCTTCGCTTTGATTGGTAAATATTGAAGGCAATATTACACCTGTATGACGTGTCCTTGGAGTTTTCTTCAGGTGAAGATGATCACATCACATTTCATTCGTTTGTCGTATTTTCTATATGTTGCAATAAATCCTGAGAATGAACAAGAACTCAACGTGAAGTTCAATCATTATAATGGCTATGATTTTGAATTAGGCGCCATATATTTAGTTCTTCAAAGTGAACATTCCTTCAGAGGCAGCGCCACCTACTGTCTTCTTATTTGAAATGTAGTATATGTCAAGTGTCAACTATAATAAATCACCTTTGAGTAAATAACTGATTCTAATGGAGGCCCAATTCATTAATTCAGGCGATAAATTTAGAATCTTGATTTGCAATTGCAAAAATGTAATCCTAACCTGAAACATTGCCACTGCATTTCGCCATTTCGCCGCTCGACGAAGGGGATACAGTGACGTCAGGCAAAAAGAAATATGAGGCACTGGCTCGGATCTTCTAAATAATGTGTTTCCAGCACAGATCAGTGTAGAAACCAGTGGCGGCTCCTCAGAGGAGGCAACGGAGGCTGAGCCTCCTCAAAGATTTTCCTTGAACTGATATTATCTATACTTTCTCATTAAAAGGACACCAAAATACATGGATTTTGATTTTATTTCCTGTTTTTAGGTAAATATTTTTGAATTGGCAACAGTGCTTGCCCACGCATCACACGTTGAAGTCTGCAAATCACGCGTAAAATATTCAACTTGGCAACATCTATAGGAGGCTAGACTCCTTTCACAATGCGCAAGCGCAACCTTGAGCGCAACCCACTCGCGCAATGCAAATGCCCGAATACGCCCGAATAGCACGTGTTTGTCGTGTCGCGTCGCGAATTGCGGGCATTGTTTTTGTTTATGTTGGGTTAATTGTTAGGGGCTCTATGAATTTCTGAGTGTTTTAAACGATTGCAATTTAGTGGAATACTTTTTGGTGAAACCATTCAGTGCTTTGTCTTATGAAGATAAATTGATTGTGAAAAACAAACGTCCGACTCCGGAATTAAAAAATCTGATTGTAAGAGGTAACAAACAAAATCGTTGGTTCAATTCTGATAATTATAAAATATATATCTGGCTGACGGGATCTGAGGTAAGGAATAAGCTATTTTGTTGGTACTGCGTATTATTTTCAACCGATAAGTCATCATGTTGGGGGCGATAAGGATATAATGATTTGAAAAATTTGGCTCGCGGATTGGATAGACACTGCGAATCACAGGAACACATCTCTTCGAGTATTAAGTTCAGGTTAACTGGTAAACAGAATGTCATTAAAGCTATTGATTTGGGTGAGTCGTAGAGAGTTGTTTTTTGCAATAAATCTCATATCATTCAGCCTCCTCTGTCATGAAAGTCACGAGCCGCCACTGGTAGAAACCGAAAGTTGGTGCGAATATCTTTTCCTTGTCGTCTGATATGTCAGAATTGCTTTTTCAATCAAAAAGTTGACAAATTATTGATAGCAGATTGATGATACATTTGGTTTAGCTAGTCCACATAAAATGGATTCATCCACCTTCTGTGGTTTCTCTTTGAGCAATGCCAGCAATAGTGAATTTGTTGTTGTTCTTTATTACCCCAAGAAACATATTTGTTTATAATGGGGATACCTAAACATATGATATATATAGATATATAACAATTAAGAAAAACTGATTAAAGATGATTTCCTTATTGTCAATGATGTTGCAGCATTGAATTGTCGTTTACGAAGTAAGTATGGGTTTTCCAATAAGAGCTGTTATTTTTGACTTTGAAAGAAAAATGCAATTTTTTAATATGAATGATCAGATGTTTATTTCATTAAATAGAGGAAGGTATGCCGTTAATAGTGGAAAATAACATCAGTCAAATGACCACCACGACCACGCCTACAGGACCATATTCTTTTCCTCAAGCCTCAAGACTCAAATCATTGCAAAATGCGGTTTAATGACGTTTGTGGAATGCCTTATACCAAAGAACGACGAGGAATGGACAAACCTGGGTTTTCTCAACACTTTCGGCTACAGCAGCAATATTCTCGGCTGTTCTTGAGCGACGTGCATGGGTTTCATACCTCACATCACTAAGCTCGAACTTTTCCACCAATTTCTGTATTGCGGTCTGACAAGGTGCTTCACGAGGACCCAAAAATGTTCGAGTTTTACCAGCCGTCTCTGCCAAATTTTCACAATTTTTAGAGTGAATTTTAATAATTTCAATGCGTTGTTGAGGCGTAGTTTCTACTTGTCAAATGTCAATAAAAGACAGCTTCAAAAGTGATATCTACCGAAATAGCGGCCTATTCAAAATAACACATCTTATTGGAAAACCCTTTATTAAATGTGTTTAATACCTGCAGATTTGATAGCTTTCTATAACTTTTAGGTAGCTTTGAGTATTCGGAGATTATTCCAATAAACTTCAATGATACATTCACAATCATTCAAATTTCTAATATTTATTTTTTTAGAATTAAGAAGGCCTTGGACGGTTCTTACCTGGATACGTTCGGCCCGTCGAGGATGGCCACGTGGTTACCAGGCCGTCTCAGCCACGCGGCAGCCTCGTCGAGCGCCTCCCTGAAGCTCTGCTGCCTGATTCGCCACGCTGGCAGATTGTCGGCGCGGAACATCTCGTGCGAGTCATAGCACTGCATGTGCCGGCGCCGGTACTCGCTGATGTCATAAACTGCGGAAACGAAAAGATCAGGGAAGGTTGGAGAAAGTCGGAGCATATTCTAATATTATTATCATTCAATTATAGGCGGGGAACAACTCGTGCACTCTCATACGTCCAATGATAACATATGGGGCCATCGTATGGTGGCCGGAGACGCTGACAGGCAAGTCAAGGATTTAGCTCGACAGAGTTCAACGACTGGCCAGTATATTCATAACAGGAGCAATGAGGACGGCGCCGACAATGGCGCTGGAGACTCTGACCGGACTGCCACCTCTGAACCTGTATATAGAAAACGAGGCGATGAATGCCGCCGTTCGCTTACAAAGCTGTAACCAGTGGAGGAACGAAGGAACCTACGGACATTCTCACCTCTGGAAGCAAATAACAGATGACTGCCCCTCACTCAGTATGAAAGGGGACAGTATAACACCGATCATTCGATTCATGAAAATGCCCCAAGTCAAAACTCCTACTGGGAACAGGATGGCACTGCATTATACCCACCAAGGGCATCATCTGGTATACAGATGGCTCCAGGATGGAAGAATGCGCAGGTGCTGGGGTCTATGGGCAGCCCCCAAGGGCATATCATTACTATACCCTTGGGAAACATGCCACGATTTTTCAGGCTGAAGTATTTGCCATACTTGCCTGTGTTCGAGAGGATATCGAGACGGGCTATCACAGCCAGCAAATCACTATATGCACTGACAGCCAGGCAGCGATCAAGGCGCTCAGAGTGCATAGATAGCCTACGAAGGCTGTCAGCAACGAACAAAGCATGTCTTTTGTGGGTCCCTGGGCACTCAGGGGTACCAGGTAACGAAATGGCCGATGGTCTGGCCAGAAAGGGGGCGAAGGGTTCAGTGATTGGTACAGAGCCAGTCTTGGGGGTCACTCGATCCTGGAGAAACTTCAGGATGAAGGAAATCCTGACGGAAAGGTTTCAGGACAGCTGAAGCTCCTGGAATGAGGCAGTCCAAACTCCATATAAGAGACCCGTCACGAAGACAGACCAATGCCCTATTGGCTTTGAACAGGAAGAAGCTGAAACTGGTGGTGGGCCTTCTGACAGGGCACTGCCACTTGAACAAGCATCTCAGCACGATCGGGATTGCGGAGGATCCTGAATGCAGATGGTGCTTAGAGGATGAAGAGACTTCTACTCACATTCTCACTGAATGCCAGGCATTAGTGGCAGCAAGGGATATCCATTCTGGGGACAGTATCCTGGACCCAAAGGATGTTAAAAAGTTTTGGCCTAGGAAGTTGGTCTCTTTTGCTCGCGAGATCAGCCTTATCCATGGCTGACTTTCGATTCCAGGAATGTGGGTGCACAATGGGCCCGAAAAGGGAGGCATAAGTGCTTCAGGTCCCGTACCGCCCACACATACATACATACATACATACAACTCGTGCGCGTCGTAGCACTGCATGTTCCGGCGCCGGTAATCGCTGATGTCATACACTGGGACAAATGGCAAGAAGAATCAGAGTAAGTTGGAGAATCTCGGAGTTTGACACCGACATACTACAAAAAATTTAAAAAACTAAAAACACGTTTTTATAGTTAGCCGAACTAAAAGATAGAAAATAAATAGTAGTTTAAAAATCTGAAGAAACACTCTTTTATAGTTAGGAAAACTAGAAAAAGTAGAAAATGAAATAATAAAAGTTTTTTGATAAATACACAACCTAGAACATACTGATTACGGCGGTGCTAATATTTTCTATGTTGTGTATTTATTTCAACACACTTTTATTATTTCACTTTATACTTCTTTTTGGTTTGGCTATCTATAAAAGCGCGTTTCTTTAGTTTTTCAAACTACTATTATTTCTATTTGAAATTCTGATGCTTTGATTTCGCATGTTGTCCATATTCTGATTTCGCATGTTGTCCATATTCCTATTTCCAATACAGTGCATCATGTCAATTCTCCTATATCTACTATATCTAGAACTGTTAGTAAGTTTCCTAGGGTAGATATATTTTTTCTAACGTTCAAACAACTCAAAAAAGAGATTCTACGTTTCATTCAGAATTGATTCTGTTATATGTGTAATTATTCATGATTCTAATTGTATACACCTGTAAATGGGCTTTAGGGCCTGCTGGATGTATTGTATGAATGAATAAATAAATAAATATCGGACAAAATCGCAACCACTCTGAATTCGACCTTCGTAACTTCCCAAGCACTCACCTTCCGTTCTGTCCCCGGTATAGTTGAGGTACCTCGACAGCCGGCGGGCCAGCATACTTTTCCCTCTGCCCGGCAGCCCCACCATAGCCACCAGCAGAGGTCCGAACTGCCGCAGCGGCGACCGTCTCGACGCCTGCGCACCTGCAACTAAAACACACCGGTTCTTAATCCTGCAGTGGTGACCTGCGGTCTCTCAGACCGACCAGTAATGCAAATTTGGGGCTATCGCGCGATGCCTCCTTTACTGCTTCCCTCTGGCTTGACCTTTTTTGAGTCTCTTCGCGCAATGTAAACCAGAAAGCGCTAGCTTTAGCAGGAAGCTAGTAGTTATTGGTTTCGGACTGTCAGACCGACGTCACCAGTGAAGTAACAAACCTGCTACATATATATTTCTCGTTTTAATTCATTTTATGAGAAATTGAGCGTATTCAACCAGAGGTTTATATTCTCATACGAATGAAATATTATTCCTAACAGAAATCATCCATATTAGGAGCAGAACAACGAAGACTTCTACATACCATGAAAACATGTATGACGGTTGAAGAGGATCTTGAATGGAATTGTATTTTTTTATTAATATAATCTGATTTCCAATCATGTTTTCTTCGAGCAGAATCATATAAGCTGACTATACAGTCTGTCCAAGATAGGGTTGAACAGCATGGGGATCTCGAAAACGGTAGGAGATACGAAGTCGGTTAAATGGGGAAAAAGTTGCGCATTCGGAGGCTCATATCAAGAGCTTTCGGAAATTTTCAAAATTATTTTTAGTTTGGAATATCTATTTCATTTTTTTTCTCTATTATTATTAAAGATACAGAAAAACTGAGAATACTTTTTCATAGCAACTTTTGATGAAGTTTAACGTGGTGATACCGATTTTCCCATGCGACGTTTCGTATTTGTAGAATCATCATCAACTTTTGTTTTTTAAATACGGTCCTGATAATTTTTTCACAGATTCTGAAAGGTTTTTTTATTCTGAAGTCAACCATGTATTATACAAGGTGGGTCATGTATGTTTTGACCTATTTTTAGCCATCATCAATGTTTTTTTCGAAATTCCAAAGGAAAAATGCCATCAGTTCCACTTATTTTGAAGGAAAATAAGTCAACACACTAATACTCCATCAACTGGTTTCAATCAACTGGTTTCAATCAACTGGTTTCAATCAACATTCCATTTTATTTTGCGGAAACAAAAATTCCATCCATACAAATTCAGAATATGTCAAGCGGTAAAACCAGGAGATGACGAAAGGCGCAGGACATTCTGTGAGTGGTATATCAGGAAATGTCAAAATTTTGCTGATTTCCCTCGAACAATCATCTGGACTGATGAAAGCATGGACACAATCATGATGGTATCTTCGATAGAAAAAATACACATTATTGTTCCTGAGAAAATGAACATTTATACATTACAGCGAGACACCCTTTCGGCTTTGATATGTGGGTTGCAATATTTGGTACACGAATAATTGATCCTTTTATTTACCATGAAACACAGACTTCCGAACGTTATATAAATTTGCTTAAGAATCATCTTGAGGAAGCTCTGGTACATAATTCCAAAGAAGTTCGTGCGTTTTTATCCAGAAAAATGGATTGGTACTCATTCTACAGTCCCTTGGTCGGCACGGTGGCCTGATTTGATACAGCTGGTTTTTTTTTAAGAGATATATCAAAAACTTTGTACACGCAGATAGCTTTGATGATGAAGAAGAACTAAGGGACAGTGTCATCGGAGCATTGAATAGAATAACCCCAGAAATGCTTAGTAATGTCTTAGAAGCAACTTTGAGAAGAGGATATCTTTGTTCAGAAAATAATGGCTATCATTCTGAACATTTGTTATGAATGTTTCTGTAGGTATTGTCAGAGTTAAGTTGTTAAAGTGATTCGTGTAAGAATTCATCAACAATTTTAAGCGCTGCATTGAATGATGTAGTGAAATATTTTTTATTCACTTTTCAGTATTGAATAACTAATCAATCAATGTTTGACACTGAATGATCAGAAATAAATGGAACTGATGGCACTTTTCTTTTGGAAGTTCTAAAAAACATTGATGCAGGATAGAAATAGGTCGAAACACATTCGAATCACTTTGTATGATACATGGTTAAATTTAGAATAAAAAAACCTTTCAGAATCTGTGAAAAAATTATCAGGACCGTACTTGAAAAACAAAAGTTGATGATGGTTCTGCGGATACGAAACGTCGCATAAAGAAATTGGTATAACCACGTTAAACGTCATCTGAATTTGCTATGAATAAGTATTATCAGATTTTCAATTTCTCTTATAATAACGGAGAGAAAAAAAAATAGATATTCCAAAAATTCACTTTTTTCGATATAACTCAAAAACTAAAAATAATTTGAAAATTTTTTGAAGGCTCTTAATATGAGCCTCCAAATGCGCAACTTTTTCCCCATTTAAACGGCTTCGTATCTCCTACCGTTTCCGAGATCCCCATGCTGTTCAACCTTATCTTGGACAGACTGTATTTTGATTGTATATATTTTTTTATAAAAAAAAAATTGAATGTCTCTCAGACCGACGTCACCATTCATGTTTCGTAAAACCACGTGACCACTGGAGGGTTAATCTTATTACGGTTCACGTCCATGGTAGATGTTTAGCACGAGATAACCCAGGCAAACGGTATCAATATACACCGTTTTCTTGCAAAAAAAAACAGTAGTCGATTTTATTATCGTACCCCATGTTTTTTGGGATGCTGAAATAGAATCTGTAATCATCCAACAATATTTCCTAGTGCGTTTTGAGATATTCGCAAAAAACTACGAAATTATATATTTTCACTTATAATGGGCATGTTTCAGTGAAACATGTTATTTCTAGGGATCGACCGATACCGATATTTATATCGGCCTATCGGTGATATCGGCCTCATAGGCCGATTATCGTATCGGCCGATATCAAAAACCGATAGACCGATATTTTTTTTTTCTCCGATTGGCAGCAAATATTAATTTTGCTGATACATATCAATCAGCAAAGTATTACTTTTCCTGCCTAGCTGGATTCCTAGCCTCGCTACGCTCGGCTATGAATTCAGCCTCGGCAGTCAATCTACTACTTTGCTGCCTAGTTAAATCAATTTGAAAAATGAATGAAAAAAATACACTTCCATCAAAAATATATCTTAATTACCAATAAAAAGTATGTAACGTAAAATCAACTAAATTCCTTGACTAGTAATAATAAAAAAAAACCTATGCGGATTGCAACTGTGAGGTAAAATTATTTCACCTTACCAAAATACGAAAATAACTGATTAATACTGATAATTTAGTTTTGGTAGATTGTGATGCAAAAACAATAAGCTTTCTGCCCTATCAAGAGTTAGCCTGCTACGATTTGTTTCATAACTATTACCAGCTTCAGAGAAAACTTGTTAACGGCCGATAGACCGATATATCCGAGGGGGTTGCCACTGGGGAAATTCTCGTACACTTGAGAGGAAATACGGGGCAATGCGAGGAAATTTTAGGAAATGTGGGAAATATGAGGCAATACGAGGAAATATCTGGAAATGCGAGGCAATACAGGGAAATACGGGACAATACTGGGAAATGCGGGGCAATAAAAATAAATACCGGAAATACTGGAAATACGGGAAATACGAGGCAATACTGGGAAATACGAGGCAATACAGGGAAATACGGGGCAATACTGGGAAATGCGGGGCAATAAAAATGAATACCGGAAATACTGGAAATACTGGAAATACGGGAAATACGGGAAATACGAGGCAATACTGGGAAATACGAGGTAATACCGGGAAATGCGGGGCAATACTTGGAAATTCGGGGAAATATTTGGCAATGTGGGGCAATGCGGGAAATGTCGGGAAATACGAGGCAATGCCAGGAAATACGGGAAATGCAAGGAAATATCTGGAAATGCCGGGCAATATTTAGAAAAGCGGTTGAAAAATTGAGACAGTCGGCATTAAATTTGAAAAACAATCTACGTAATTAGTTTTTTATAGAGTTAATATACAATCGCATCGACATGTAGAAAAGACATAAATGAAATATCGACTCTTGGACGCTAGACGAGACCCTAGCGCTAGACGATGGCTTGACGCAATTCTGAGAACTCCCTACTCGACACCCTATTGCGCGTATGAATTTGTTTCTCAAATTGATGTTGAAAAGTACTATAGTGTGTTTTATGAACAAAGATGGTATATTGGCAGAGTTTTAGAATACAAAGAAAATGAAATGTGTACTCTCAAATTTCTGAAAGAAGACCTGAATAATTTTTACTAGCCTAAATCAGACGACGTAGATTGTGTCCACAAAGAACAAATATTTTATGGAGCAATAAATATGCTTGGCTGTGACCCACTACAGATCACAAGATATGATCGAAATAATATTAAAAAAATATATAAAGATTTGAAAAAGAAAGGGAAGTAGTTAATTTTAGTTTGGAGTTTGATATATTTTTCATTGAATGACCCATGTTTTGTTTTCTTTGTTGATATTCATTCCAGTGATTATAGTCATTAGGAATAGATATTTTTCTAGTTTTTATGTTGATGTATCTTAAGTCATTCATAGGTTCTCCCGAGGGTTCTCCACTCAAACTGTGGTGATATTTTCCTACTGTGATTCATATTATGTTTTTTTTTGTTGAATATTTATAAGAATACATATTTTTTTCGATTGTATATTTTTTCATAGTACCTACTGTCGTAAAACAATATTATTGTAGTGAAATATTAGAGAATGCCTGACAATATAAAAACGATTGTGTAACCAATGAAAAATGTCAGGAAATTAAGGCAATACAGGGAAATGCAGGGAAATACAAGGCGATACTGGGAAATACGGGGCAATACAAGGTAATTTGGGAAATACGAGGCAATACGGAGAAATTTCTGGAAATACGAGGCACTACCGGGAAATACGGGGCAATACTGAGAAGTGCAGGGCAATACGAGAACATTCTAGGAAATACGGGAAATGCGAGGCAATACGAGGAAATTTCTGGAAGTTCGAGGCAATACTGGGAAATGCAGGAAAATTACGGGAAATGCGGGGCAATGCCGGGAAATGCGGGGCAATAATTGGAAATATGAGAAAATGCCAGGAAATTGGGCA